CCTCAGAACCTCAGACCAGACCCTCAGAACCTCAGACCAGAACCTCAGAACCTCAGACCAGTACCTCAGAACCTCAGACCAGAACCTCAGCACCTCAGACCCTCAGAACCTCAGACCAGAACCTCAGAACCTCAGACCAGACCCTCAGAACCTCAGACCAGTACCTCAGAACCTCAGACCAGACCCTCAGAACCTCAGACCAGACCCTCAGAACCTCAGACCAGAACCTCAGAACCTCAGACCAGAACCTCAGACCAGACCCTCAGAACCTCAGACCAGACCCTCAGAACCTCAGACCAGACCCTCAGACCCTCAGAACCTCAGACCAGAACCTCAGAACCTCAGACCAGAACCACAGACCCTCAGAACCTCAGACCAGAACCTCAGAACCTCAGACCAGAACCTCAGAACCTCAGACCAGACCCTCAGACCAGAACCTCAGAACATCAGACCAGTACCTCAGAACCTCAGACCAGACCCTCAGAACCTCAGACCAGACCCTCAGAACCTCAGACCAGACCCTCAGACCCTCAGAACCTCAGACCAGAACCTCAGAACCTCAGACCAGAACCTCAGAACCTCAGACCAGACCCTCAGAACCTCAGACCAGAACCTCAGAACCTCAGACCAGAACCTCAGAACCTCAGACCAGACCCTCAGACCCTCAGAACCTCAGACCAGAACCTCAGAACCTCAGACCAGAACCTCAGAACCTCAGAACCTCAGACCAGAACCTGTGACTCACCTTAGACATGAAGCTGGACTGGACCTCTGAACCAGTTTTTAGTCTACTTACAACATATTAGGGATGCTCTGATCGATCGGCTGCTGATTTATCATTACCAATCCGTGATCAGTAGATGTGGATCAGTGCTTCTGGTCACCGTTCACCTGTGGTTACTGCACTGTGTGCTGTGTAGTGTAGCCCCGCCTCCCACCGACAGGCCGCCTCAGAGACTCAGAGACTGAGAACAAACAGTCTGAATGCAGCTGTGTCTAAATCCTCTGATTCTGTAGAGTGAATGATGGAACTGAGTTAATGATCTGAGACATGTTGCCTTTTGTTAATTACACTCTGTTTAGTGTGTTGAATATTTTTGTATTCAGTCTGTTAATAATTGTGTTAATTCACATAAATTAACACATTTAATTAATTAATGGATTATGACATTATGACAGTCAGGGTGGGTCATGTCTGTGAAGCTGCAGCCAATCAGCGTTTAGATATGATGAACAGAGCGAATCCTCTGAGGTCATTCTGTCAGTGTTAACAAACTGAAGTGGGTTCTTTACTTTATTTACCAGTGGATGTAACAGTAGAACAAGCTGTAGTTTAGAATTAAAAGCAGTTATAAGAGCAGTGAGGTCAAAGGTCAGAGCAGGTGTGACATGTGAACTTGTGTGGCTGTTGGCTTCAGCTGTATCTGTCTCCTTTCAACTATAAACTAATAATCTCTGATATATAACTGAACTTTACTCTGAATGTGTGTTTCAAGTTTTTCTGATGAACAGGTTGAATAAAGTGTGTGTGTGTGTGCGTGTGTCTGTGTGTCTGTGTGTCTGTGTGTCTGTGTGTCTGTGTGTCTGTGTGTCTGTGTGTCTGTGTGTGTCTGTGTGTGACTGTGCGTGTGTCTGTGCGTGTGTCTGTGCGTGTGTGTGTGTGTTTTCAGTTCACGACCTGCAGAGCTTCGGCCTTGACAATGTAAGTAAAACACCTGATTGTGTTTCTTTAACTTCCTGTGACTTCATATTTGTGTCACTCCGCCCGGCGACAGTCATGTTGTTTTCAGGTTGTACCTCTGTCCATCTCATTCTCGTGGACAAAATGTCTCAGTAACGCCTTCAGTGAACTTCTTCAAATTTGGCAGAAACATTCACTAGGACTCAAGGACAGACTGATTAGACTTTAGGGGTCAAAGGTCAAGGTGGCCTCAGAAAACACTTGTTAGCACACAGAAATTATGACATTTCACACACATGGTTCATATTTTATCTGACGCAGGTTAAACAGGTGATCTGAAACTAGTCTGAGTGGAGGAGGCAGACGATCACAAAGTGGTAATTCTAGTTATAAATTAAATGAAAACTTTATTTTAACATTGTTTTTCCTGTTGACTGTCGGTCATTAAAATCGTGTGGTAAAACTGTGACTGTCTGTTCAGTCGGACGCAGATTCAGTCTTGACTAATCACAGAGACATTTTCAGTGGAGGATCATGTTGTTAATGATTCTCCTTGTCCATCTCCTCCTGCAGATAAACATGACTCACCTGATCAAACACCTGTCGTTTGGTAAAGATTACCCCGGCATCGTCAACCCTCTGGACGGGACGGACGTCACGGCGCCACAAGGTCGGTCATCTCCTGGTTTTACTCTGTTCAGTGTGATGTTGGACTGACACAGTGACAGAATCATCATCAATCAGAATATGTTGATAACTAGAGCAATTAATCTCAACGTGGCCGAGTTCAATATCCAAATCACAGGAGCTGCAGTTTTTTGATGAAGGTAAAATGTGTGGCATTATTGTGCATTGTTAGCAATAGCATTGTTAGCACCATCAGTGTTGTGGTGCAGAGAAACGCCCTGACCTACAGATCATATTCTCCAGACATAAAGAACAAAAAACCATCCAACCATAATGAAATCACACTGAGGTTTTTTGTACATCATCATCTTATCTCTGTTTCCCTCTTGTTTATTTTATCTGGTGTTTTACTTTTGCTTTTATTTGATGCATTTTGATTTTAATTTCATTTGATATTATTAACTTTGATTGTGAAGCACTTTGTGACTGGTGTCTGAGAAAGTGCTTCACAAATAAACTCAACCCTAACTGTAAATACCAGTATATATAATACACACCATTAATGGTTAGCGTGTAGACTGCGCTACAACAAAAATCACATGATCATTTTCTCTTTTTTTCAGTGAAAATGAGAAATGATGAATAACGATCATTCACACTGAAATCACAATATGATTTTTGTTCCTCTGCCCGGCGACAGTGAGAGCGGCAGCCATTTTGTTTTCAGGTTATCTGTCAGTCCGTCCGTCCTATACCTGTGGACACGATGTCTCAGTAACACCTTGAAGGACCTTCTTCAAATTTGGCACAAACATTCACTAGGACTCAAGGATGAACTGAATAGACTTTAGGGGTCAAAGGTCAAAGTTAAAAGTCATGGTCACCTCAGAAATCAGGGATGTGACCTGAAACTCGTCCGAGTGGAGGAAGCTGATTCTAGTTTTTGTATATTGTGCAGCTCTATTTATAATTAAATCTGTGAGTGATTCCATTGGAAAAGCCTGAACAACTCTTTCCTCCTCTGCAGTCTGTTGACGAAGGTTTTATTATTTAGATACACACTGACACAGCAGCTGATGAACCAGCTGTTTTTGCTCTGTGTGTGTAAACCCTCTGGAGAAACAGTCGATGGTTCAAAGTGAATTCCTCTGCAGGTTTAATCTGAACAGAGTCTGGACTGATTCAACTTCAGGTTTTTGTTGTACCAGTGTACAAAAATCATGAGACCAGGTTCAGGACTTGAACAGGCCAGAATGCATTGCAGCTACAAGATGAGTTCAGGGACTGCGGTCGAAAAGTCTTTTTATTGATGAAGCTTCAGACTGAGAGAAATGATCTTCAGTCTCTGAGCAACTTCATGATCAGAGTGAGGAGAGGAGCTTCACTGCTTCCTCTCTCATCTCCTTTAGGAAACACTGGAGCTTCCTTTACCAAAGGAAAGGAGACATGCCGTCCCACAATGCCTTGCTGCAGCAACATTTAAAACCACAGCAGAGCCACATAAATGTAGAAACATCAGAGCAGCTGTTTCTGTCTGATGGACTGAAGCTCAGATCCATAAATACAGATTTATTCTCTTTCAGTCAGTCAGGAGTCGTCATGAAGAACGAGCTGATGAATCTATAGTTACATCATCATCACAACTAAATACTATAGTCTATACATTCATGTTGTTTGACTGAATCCTCCTGTTGTGGAAAGACCCAAACATGAATTTTCTCTGTTGTACAAATGTATAGAAATGTCAGGAAACTATAAACTTATGTCTGAATATAATTTATTCTCAGCTCATTATTTCTATTTTAATGGCTCAACTTTAAAAATTAGTATTTTTCTTATTTAAACATTTAAATCCTGTTTGTTTCTGTGGTTTAAGGAGGATTTATCCTCCATGTGTTATAAATAAAGTTAGATTTAAAGTAATTGTTTTAGTGTAAGGTCAGTCAGATTCTTTTCCTCCGTCTGTATGAATTCTCCTTCACGTCTCTGACCTCATGATTTCCATGGAGGTCGGGGAGACGAGGTGAGAGGAGGTTATTTTGACTTTTTGATTGCAGACCAGGTTTCTGGTTAAAGAGAGGAGCCTGAGTCCTTCTCCATGTAAAACCAGAACACACACAGTCCCTCCAGCTAATGAGAATTAGACCAGGTAAAAAGGTGTGCTGTGTCTGCAGGTGAGATCACATCAGTCACTGTCAGCAGCTTCATGAATTAGAACACACACACTGTGAAAACCTGTTTGACAAATGTGAACGTTTATTGACAAAACTGGACTGCAGGTAGAGCGTGACATCATTGAGCCGAGAGCTGTGATTGGAGGTTTCTGAAAAGTCCCATAGTTGTGTGGAGAAGGAGGAGGACGCTGCTCCTCATCCTCCTCAGCAGCGGATGCCCATACCGATGGCCATGAAGGTGCCAAACGTCCCCCCGCTCTGCATCATGGTCTTCCCCACGCCTCCCATCAGCTCCCTGCCACGCATGCCGATCCTGGACACAGGGGAGACAGGTTCAGTCCACTCACTAAGTGTGTTTTGACCTACTGGCTGCTGTGGTCCAGGATCCAGACTCACCTGAGACAGGAGAAAGTGCCAAACATGGCGCCAGCAGCCATTCCCACCGCAAAGCCCATCATGAAGCCCATCTTGACCCGGTCAAAACAGCTGGGCTGGGTCTGACCATACGGACCTACAGCCACCGGCATCTGGGGGGGGGGGGGTTAAAACTATAGATTTAGAATTGATTGATCTGGTTTGTCTCAGTTGATCAGTTTGTTGAACTAAGAGACACTCATACTGTCTCATTTTAATCGAGTGACCTCACAGCAAACGTGGAGGATAAGCACCAGCACATGAACACTGTACAGTCTACACGCTAACCATTAATGGTGTGTATTATATATACTGGTATTTACAGTTAGGGTTGAGTTTATTTGTGAAGCACTTTCTCAGACACCAGTCACAAAGTGCTTCACAATCAAAGTTAATAATATCAAATGAAATTAAAATCAAAATGCATCAAATAAAAGCAAAAGTAAAACACCAGATAAAATAAACAAGAGGGGAAACAGAGATAAGATGATGATGTACAAAAAACCTCAGTGTGATTTCATTATGGTTGGATGGTTTTTTTATTTTCACTGAAAAAAAATATAATGATGATGATGTGAATTTTGTTCCTTTATGTCTGGAGAATATGATCTGTAGGTCAGGGCGTTTCTCTGCACCACAACACTGATGGTGCTAACAATGCTATTGCTAACAATGCACAATAATGCCACACATTTTACCTTCATCAAAAAACTGCAGCTCCTGTGATTTGGATATTGAACTCGGCCACGTTGAGATTCAGATTGTATATCGATTAATTGTGCAGCTCTAGTTAAAATCATTAAATACCATGTTAGCTAAAGGTCTGTCTGAGCAGAAGGTTTGACTAACTAACTGTTGTTTAGCCACAGGAAGAAAGACAACACTGTCTTTAAAATGTCTGTCAGTTAAATCATGTTTTTTACCCACAAGCCCTCAGTGAGTTTGTTTACAGCTGATTCTGTTTCCTGTTGCATCAGATCAGTTTCACACTGTCACTGTGAACACACTCAGGCTGAATCAATCTGTGACGTTACTGACACAGTGAAGGTTCAAAAAACTAATATTTTATTTTAATTAATACAGGTTTGACTTCTGTTCAGAGCTAAATGATTAATCATCAACAGAAAATGAGTCAATATTTTCATTATCTAAACATGAATAATTAATTAATATGAAACCCTGCTGCTTCATATTTGTGTCCAGCTTCTTAAGTGATTTTGTGAAGATAAATGAACATGAAGATAAAGTGAATATTTCTAGACCAAAATGACAGTAAAAATCACTTAGGTTTGAAGGAAATTTAGCTTGTATATTCATGTCGATTAATCGATACAAACAATCAACGTCATTAATTTCAGCTCCATGTTTGTGTTTAATCAGTTATTTTCTAACGGTGGAAATCGATCGGATTATTTCTAATCAGCTCAGATAACTAATCACTACTCTTTCTGGCAACAGTGGTCAGTTAGCTGCTGGTTAGCTCTGGTAACCGTTAGTGTTGCTAATCGTGTAGGTTGTTGTGAATGAGTAAGCTAGGCTAACGTTAGCAGTGTCTGTGTTTTCTGTTCGCACATTGAACCTGTATCAACGTTAAACTCCTCATCACCGGGCCGTTTGTTGTGTTAGCTTAGCATGCTAACTACCAGGCTAACGTCACCTGTGGCCTTGACACATAAACACGACACCCGCAACTCGCGTCTCCTATCTACGTGTCCCGTTCACGTCACCTGACGCAGACCTCACCTTGAGTCCTGTCGTAGACTAGAGTTCTTGTTCTGGATCAGACTGGAGGTTCGTCGTGGATCTAAGCTCAGCTGCGTTTAATGAACTTCAGCAGACCTCCATAACCGGAAGGAGGAAGGACAGAGAGACAGAGGAAGGCGCTAAAGAGCGGGAAAGAGCCGAGCAGAGACACGACAGCGCCGCCCACAGGCTCGTTTCAGTTATTTATAACACATGGAGGATAAATCCTCCTTCAACCACAGAAACAAACAGGACTCAAATGTTGAAATAAGAAAACATGAAAGAAAATTACAAATTGAGAAAGTTGAGCCATTAAAATAATAGTTAAATAGAAATAATGAGCTGAGAATAAATTATATTCAGACATAAGTTTATAGTTTCCTGACATTTCTATACATTTGTTAAGTAGGGAAAATTCATGTTTGGGTCTTTCCACAACAGGAGGATTCAGTCAAACAACATGAATGTATAGACTATAGTATTTAGTTGTGATGATGATGTAACTATAGATTCATCAGCTCGTTCTTCATGACGACTCCTGACTGACTGAAAGAGAATAAATCTGTATTTATGGATCTGAGCTTCAGTCCATCAGACAGAAACAGCTGCTCTGATGTTTCTACATTTATGTGGCTCTGCTGTGGTTTTAAATGTTGCTGCAGCAAGGCATTGTGGGACGGCTCTCTCAGCTTCTCACCGTCAGCACAAACACACTGCACTTTGACTTTAAAACATGAGACTCAGGTTTTTATCACATGACGTCTGACACTGTAAAACACACAGAGCTGCAGCTATCTGTACAGAGAGTCGTTCACAGTGTTTTTATGAGAAGCTTTAAAACATAATATGAACTTTAATCTTTATCTTTGATACTCAGACTGTGTTTCTGTGTCTAACGCACTCGTTTCTAATTACACAGTATATGTTTTTATCATGTTAACAAAAAGCTTTAATCCTCATTAATCATGGTAGGGTTAACCTGTTGAACCATATGCAAATGTACAGTGGGCACGGAAAGTATTCAGACCCCTTTAAATTTTTCACTCTTTGTTTCATTGCAGCCATTTGCTAAAATCAAAAAAGTTCATTTTTTTCTCATTAATGTCACTCAGCATCCTGACAGAAAAAAACTGAAATATCACATGGTCATAAGTTTTCAGACCCTTTGCTGTGACACTCATATTTAACTCACATGCTGTCCATTTCTTCTGATCCTCCTTGAGATGGTTCTACTCCTTCATTGGAGTCCAGCTGTGTTTAATTAAACTGATTGGACTTGATTAGGAAAGGCACACACCTGTCTGTATAAGACCTCACAGCTCACAGTGCATGTCAGAGCAAATGAGAATCATGAGGTCGAAGGAACTGCCCAAGGAGCTCAGAGACAGAATTGTGGCAAGGCACAGATCTGGCCAAGGTTAAAAGAATTTCTGCAGCACTCAAGGTTCCTAAGAAAACAGTGGCCTCCATAATCCTTAAATGGAAGAAGTTTGGGACGACCACAACTCGTCCTAGACCTGGCCGTCCAGCCAAACTGAGCAATGGTGGGAGAAGAGCCTTGGTGAGAGAGGTAAAGAAGATGAGCTCCGGAGATGCAGTAGGGAGATGGGAGAAAGTTCCACAAAGTCAACTATCACTGCAGCCCTCCACCAGTCTGGGCTTTATGGCAGAGTGGCCCGACGGAAGCCTCTCCCAAGTGCAAGACATATGAAAGCCCACATAGAGTTTGCCAAAAAACACATGAAGGACTCCAAGACTATGAGAAATAAGATTCTCTGGTCTGATGAGACCAAGATTGAACTTTTTGGTGTTAATTCTAAGCGGTATGTGTGGAGAAAACCAGGCACTGCTCATCACCTGCCCAATACAATCCCAACAGTGAAACATGGTGGTGGCAGCATCATGCTATGGGGGTGTTTTTCAGCTGCAGGGACACGACGACTGGTTGCAATTGAAGGAAAGATGAATGCGGCCAAGTACAGAGATATCCTGGAAGAAAAGCTCTTCCAGAGTGCTCAGGACCTCAGACTGGGCCGAAGGTTCACCTTCCAACTAGACAATGACCCTGAGCACACAGCTAAAATAACAAAGGAGTGGCTTCTTGACTGGCCCAGCCAGAGCCCTGACCTAAACCCAATTGAGCATCTCTGGAGAGACCTGAAAATGGCTGTCCACCATCGTTCACCATCCAACGTTCACCATCCAACCTGACTGAACCGGAGAGGATCTGCAGGGAAGACTGGCAGAGGATCCTCAAATCCAGGTGTGAAAAACTTGTTGCATCATTCCCAAGAAGACTCATGGCTGTACCAGCTCCAAAGGAGCTTCTACTCAGTACTGAGCAAAGGGTCTGAATACTTATGACCATGTGATATTTCAGTTTTTCTTTTTTAATAAATTTGCAAAAAGTTCTACATGTCTGTATTTTTCTGTCAAGATGCTGAGTGACATTAATGAGGAATAAAATGAACTTTTTCCATTTTAGCAAATGGCTGCAATGAAACAAAGAGTGAAAAATTGATCTGAATACTTTCTGTACCCACTGTATGTACATACATATGTGATATATGTGTAAAATTAAGAAAAACCTTTAACTCTTTTTAAATTTATATTAAAAGTTATAAAGTGTCTTGTTTTGATAAACTTATAAATCAAATATATATCAAACATTCATCATTCATCATATAGAGATATACACATTTTACTGTGGGTATTTCATACATGTTAAGAACTCAGATGTATTTATGAGGTAACAGTATATCACTTTATAGGGACATATATGTCATATATTATATTTAGGGCCCCTGTTGACCCCCCCCCCACCCAGAAAACAAGCAGTGCTCCTGTGTTGGAATACTACATAGTTTTTAGTGTGTCACTTTGAGGCTGTTGAATATGTGTGAGCTCAATATGAATAAAATCCAGTTTTCAAACATTGATCAAACACGCAGTCACAGCATCAGCTGGTATGAAATATAAATACAAATATATAAAATGAGACTGAAAACTACGGTGGCCCTGAAGTTTAACACTCTGCACCTTTAGAAAACACACAGATAAAACACAAACAACTTCATGAAACATCCTCATCAGTCTGAGAACACATGAGCTGCAGATACTCACAACAGGAAGTGTTTCCAGGAAACACTAAAAAGGGATGGACCCGGAGGCTAAGCTAACAATGGTAATAACATCTGAATCATGTGATGTTGACGTCAAAATAAACCAAACTCACCTTTAGCTCATTTTCCAACACCGCTAACGGAGCCCGAGCCGGGTCCGTCACTTTTTAGTGTCCCCTGGAAACACTTGTGTTGTGTTGTAGCTGCAGCTCATGTGTTGTCAAACTGATGAAGGTGTGTCTGCAGTGCCTTGAGCCCTCAGGGCCACCGTAGACGAGCGCCTCCCTCTGGTGCCTCATTGAGGAGCTCACAGCGTCAGACTGTTGATGTGTGATCAGAGACAAACAGATGATCTGTGTCACGGCAACAGGTGTCTTCTTCTCTCTCCACAGCGTCCATGATGTATCAGTACTTTGTGAAAATCGTTCCTACGATCTACGTGAAAACGGACGGAGAGGTGAGTCCACCATGTTCATGTTGTTGACCCTGACGTTGACCTCTGACCTCTGTCGTGATGAGTTCAAATTAAATGTTATATTTGTTACCTTATCACATGAAACAGTTGTTTTAGATGATCTTCAGTTTGACTTTAACATTCATTCATTCAAACAGGTGAGCTGCTGTTGTTGTTGTTGTTGTTGTTGTTTGTGCAGGTGGTGAAAACAAACCAGTTCTCTGTCACCAGACATGAGAAAGTGGCCAACGGGCTGATCGGAGACCAGGGTCTGCCGGGAGTCTTTGTTCTGTACGAGCTGTCGCCCATGATGGTGAAGTTCACAGAGAAACACAGGTAGGACTCACCTGAACTCCACAGACCACCTGATCCACAGTCATAAGAGTCTGTGTTTTTAAATGAGGAGAGTCAGAGAATCAGCATGTTTTCAATGCGTTTCAACGACACAGCACATTTCTTCAAATGTCACTCACTGTTTTCTCATATATAATCAATAAATCAATGTCAAGTGGAAACAGCTGATTTAAACATTCATGTGACTGAACTCCTGGTCTGTCTCTGCTCAGATCATTCACTCACTTCCTGACAGGAGTCTGTGCCATCATTGGAGGAGTGTTTACAGGTCAGTGTCTCTGTCCTCACTGTCTCTGTCCTCAGTGTCTCTGTCCTCAGTGTCTCTGTTCTCACTGTCTCTGTCCTCACTGTCTCTGTCCTCACTGTCTCTGTCCTCAGTGTCTCTGTCCTCACTGTCTCTGTCCTCAGTGTCTCTGTCCTCAGTGTCTCTGTCCTCACTGTCTTTGTCCTCACTGTCTCTGTCCTCACTGTCTTTGTCCTCACTGTCTTTGTCCTCACTGTCTCTGTCCTCACTGTCTCTGTCCTCATTGTCTCTGTCCTCACTGTCTCTGTCCTCAGTGTCTCTGTCCTCACTGTCTCTGTCCTCACTGTCTCTGTCCTCACTGTCTCTGTCCTCAGTGTCTCTGTCCTCAGTGTCTCTGTCCTCACTGTCTCTGTCCTCAGTGTCTCTGTCCTCAGTGTTGTCCTCACTGTCTCTGTCCTCACTGTCTCTGTCCTCAGTGTCTCTGTCCTCACTGTCTCTGTCCTCACTGTCTCTGTCCTCACTGTCTCTGTTCTCACTGTCTCTGTTCTCACTGTTCTCACTGTCTCTGTCCTCACTGTCTCTGTCCTCAGTGTCTCTGTTCTCACTGTCTCTGTCCTCACTGTCCTCACTGTCTCTGTTCTCAGTGTCTCTGTCCTCAGTGTCCTCACCTCACCCTGTGAGATTTTTAATAATTATTACAAATCTGAATAGAGTCTGACACTGTCTCTCTCTCTCTGTCTCTCTCTCTCTGTCTCTGTCTCTCTGTCTCTCTCTGTCTCTCTGTCTCTCTGTCTCTCTCTCTCTGTTCTGCAGTGGCCGGTCTCATCGACTCTCTCATCTACCACTCTGCTCGAGTGATCCAGAAGAAGATAGAGCTGGGTAAAGCGTCCTAACAGCGTCCCCCACTGTCCTCCACGGTGCAACAC